CAAATATTCTTTTTATTACTACTATTATTTTGTCCCTACTAATATTTTGTACTACTATCAGTAGAATTTATTTTTACTACTATTCATATCTTATTTAATTCTTATTATTACAGTAACCGTGTTGTTTAATTTATTATTATTATTATTATTATTAATATTATTATTATCATTATGCAAATTAAAAAATTTTTTATTTTCAAATATGAATTTTTGAATAATTTTACATTCAAACTTTACAAAAATTCAATTATTAACTAATTTACTCATTAATTATTCTAGTTTATTAATTTCAAAGATTTAAAAAAAATTATTTTTAAGAATTCAATTATTTTCATAAGTAATAAAATACTTCGTAAGAATTGAATTATTTTTATAAATATATAGTAAATTTTTTTTGTAAAAATTCAATTATTTTCAAAAAAAATTTCACGAAAAATTCAATTTTTTCCATAATTTCATATAAAATATTTCAAAACAATTCAATTATTTATTAGAATTTTTATAAAAATCCATCGAAAAAATTGAATTATTTTCTAAAATTGTAATAAATCTTTCGTAAAAATTCAATTATTTTTATGAATAGTAAAATTTTTTTGTAAAAATTCAATTATTTTAAAAAAAAATTTTAATAAATCCTTCGAAATAATTTAATTATTTTTTTAAATAGTAAAATCGTTGAAAAAATTCAATTATTTTCAAAAAAATTTCACGAATGAATTCAATTTTTTTCTAAAATTATTAATTATTAATTATTATCAATTATTTTCTAAAATTTTAATAAATCGTTTGAAACAGTTCAATTATTTTTATGAATAGTAAATTTTTTTTCTAAAAATTCAATTATTATTAAACAAAATTTTAATAAATCCTTCGAAACAATTCAATTATTTTTTTAAATTAGTAAAATCTTTGTAAAAATTCAATTATTTCCAAAAAATTTCACGAAAAATTCAATTTTTTCCTTAATTTGATATAAAATATTTCAAAACAATTCAATTATTTACTATAATCTTTATAAAAATTCATCGAAAAAATTTAATTATTTTCTAAACCTTTAATAAATCTTTCGGAATATTTCAATTAATTTTATAAATAGTAAAATTTTTTTGTAAAAATTAAATTATTTAAAAAAAAAATTTTTAATAAATGCTTTGAAACAATTCAATTTTTTTTTAAATAGTTAAATTTTTGAAAAAATTCAATTATTTTCTAAAATTTTAATGAAATTCAATACTGAAATGTTTAATTTAAATTATTAACATACACGATTATATTTTAAAAACTTGAAAGAAATTGTTCATAAAATTCAATTATTTTCAAAACTTTTAATTAAAATTATTAAAGGAACTCCATTAATTAAAAAAAAAATTGAAAGAAATTCTTGAAAAAGAATTTAATTGGAATTTTTAAATATTATATTTTAACAAAATTCTTATCGAGAATTTAATTATTTTCCTAAATGATAAAATTCTTTGAAGGAATTCTATTATCATCATCAAATTTTTAATTTTTAAATAAAATTCTTTGCAACAATTCGATGATTCAATTAGTCAAATTTATAAGTTTAGTTTTTTTAACAATCAATTTGTTAATTATTTTTACAAATATTAGTATTTTATGGTATTTTATTATTTAATTTTTGTTACTAGTAATTACCTTTCGACTGTTATCCGACTCGGTCGCAATCGTTAAAGCGTTTAGCAATGATTTATGTGTCATGCGTTCGAATCCTTGTAGATTTAAAATTTTTCAATTCATTTTCATCATGTTATTAATTCTTGATTTCATAAATTATATAAAATATTAGTAATAATAATAATAATAATAAATAAAATAATAATAAACAAATAATAAAAACAATGGTAACAATAATATTAATAATTAATAATAATAGGTAATGAAAATATAATTATAAAAATTAGTTATTTAAGTTAATTAAAATAATAGTTCTACTAAATCATCAAGTTGGAAGGAAATTACTTTATAAAAAAAATTTAATTGATTCAAATAAACGATTACTGTGCCTAATTGCCTATTATGAAATAAATATTTATTTGTGTCAAATAATTGTTATTGAAGTCAATTAAATTGAATTTGCTTCGCAAATATTGAAATAATTGTTTAAAATACAATTTATTTGAAATACAATTTGATTTAAATTATTTAATTCAAGTAAATATTTATTTGATAATATATTTGATAATAAATTTTTTCCTTAGTGTAATTTTTTGTAAAATTATTTAAAATAGCATTTTTCTTTTTAGAAAATCTTGTTTTTTGTTTGTTTTTGTTTGGAGAAGAATTTCCTTATTTTTATTTAATGATTCCTGATAATCATGATCACAGAAAAAACTGTTGAAATATCCCACGAAGAGATGAGAATGAACTATAAGAGGAGAGAAAAAAGTATGCAATTTGCCCTTAATAAAAGACAATATCGACACGAGTTTCCACTTAAACTGGTGCGTATTCCTGCGTTCGACTTTGCTCGAATTAGGAAGTGGTTCTCGCGTGGGAAAACGGATCCTACTTCTTGGAGCATTCGAAGTGATTCGAAGCTTGGTGGAGCAAGGACACAAGTGCGAAAGAAGGGATTAAACCCCCCCACTATTTAATGTTTCATGGTACGGCATGGGAAAGCGAGCTACATCGGGGGCGTTCTTCACATCCAGTCTCAGTTCTATTCTAACATCTCCCAAGTATCACGCAGTTTATAAAACAAGGACCCTTAAACACACACACACAATATTATTCACCAAACAAACTCAAATTCTCAATTCAACATTTTATTTTACACTTGCAATTTATTTTACAAAAAGACAAGATTCTCTTTCGCCCTGCAAATTTTTTTTAAAGTACCAATTTCGAAATTTACAATCAAAATTAAATCTACGTGAACAATTGACTCTTTTCCAAAAAATTTCTTTGACAAAATAAAAAAGTATTTTTTTCGCAAAAAATGGCACAAAGATTTAAATAAAATTTATTTTATTCAAATTGAGTAATTCTGTAATTTATTCAATAAACGCAGTAAAATGGATTGATTACAATAAAATTGATATTATAACATTGATTATAATAATAAATTGATTATTAATGACAATAAAATTAATTGAATTGATAATTCAAATTAATATTTTAAATTGAATTCGATAATCCTCGAGGGGAATTCAACGAGAATTAATAAAATGTCAAGAGAGGAAAAATTGGAGACGGCAATTGTTCCGATTAAAAATAAATTCTTGATATTAATTCAGAATTGATTGAGAATTTTGTAACAATGGTCCATGAAGAGGACAAGAATGGAGTAAAAACTACAATAAAATTCGAAGATTTTCCAAACAAGAAAGAAATAAATATTAGCAAAAGAATAAAATAATCAAAATTTATTTATTCCCAACACGAACAATTCATCAACTGGATCATCAATTTTTTGTCTGAATCATCAATTTTTTTTGGCTAAATCATCAGATGGGCAATTGGATCATCAGTTCTTTTGAAGCAAAATCATCAGATTGTCAATTGGATCATCAGTTTTTTTTGGAGCTAAATCATCAAATTGTCAATTGGATCATCAATTTTTTTTCTTCTGTCATCAATATATAAATTGGATCATCAGTTTTTTGGCTAAATCATCAGATTGTCAATTGGATCATCAAATTTTTTGACTGAATCATCAGTTTGTCAATTGGATCATTAATTCATCAATTGGATCATCAATTTGTCAGTTGGATCATCAATTTTTTTTCTTCTGTCAGCGATATATTAGTTTTTTTTGGCCAATTCATCAGATCGTTAATTGGATCATAAGATTTTTTGACAATCATCAGCTTGTCCAGTGGATCATCAATTTTTTAGTTGGATCAACAGTTTCTTTGACTAAGTCATAAATTTTTCAATTGGATCATCAGTTTTTTTTTACTTAATCATCAGATTGTCAATTACATTATCAAATTTTTTGTCTAAATCAGCACTTTGTCAATTGGATCATCAATTTTTTTGCCTCAATCATCAATTTATCAATTGGATCATCAGTTTTTCAAATACATCACCAATTTGACAGTTGGATCATCAGTTTCTTTGTTTGAATCATCAGTTCGTCAATAGGATCATCAGTTTACCAATTGGATCATCAATTTATCAATAGAATCATCAATTTATCAATTGGATCATCAATATTTTCTTTAAAATAACATTTCGGCAATTGGGTCATCATTTTTTTTTGTCAAAATCGACAGTTTGTCAATTTAAATCACAAATTTTTTGTCTAAATCGTCAATTTATCAATTGGATCATCAATAATTAGCTAAATCATCAGATTAGCAATTGGATTAACAAATTTTTTGGCTAAATAATCAGTTTGGGAATTGGATCATCAGTTTTTTGTTTAAATTCAATTGGATTATGAAATAATTATTTAAATCATCAGTTACACAATTGGATCATCACATAATTAACTGGATCGTCAGTTAAACAATTCAAGTTTCAAATTACTAATTGAATCATCAGTCAGACAATTGGATCGTCACTTTAACAATTGGTTTATGACCTAATTATCCGAATCATCAGTTAAACAATTGGATCATCACTGAATTACTGCTTAATTATAAGTCGATCACCAATTCGTGAATTGGATTTGAATTTAATTTGAATCACTCGACTTAAATCAATTTATAGATCAATACACCAATTGATAATAAATAACCAATTGATTTTTATCATCGCAATTAAATTATCAATCCCTTGAGTCGCCATTTGATTTGAATCAATTCGTTTATCAAAAAAACTAATTGATAATAGTTTATTAATCAAAAAACAACTGATTAGTCAATTTTTTGACCAACTGATTACCAATTAGTCAATTACCAATTGATTTTTATTATCGAAATTGAATCCATTGCATTGAGTCATCAATTTCTTGAGTCACTATTTAATTTGAATCAATTTGTTTATCAAATAACCAGTTGATAATAGTCAATTGATCAATAATCAATTTTCTAATAACCAATTGATAAATAATCAATTGATAATAGCCAATTGTTCAATAAACAATTGGTTTTTTTATTACAATTAAATCATCAGTCCCTTGAGTCATCACTTGGTTTGAAACAATTTGTTCACCAAATAACCAATTGATCGATAACCAATTGATTTCAATCGTCAGTCTTTGTAAAATTAATTAACGAGTCCCAATTAAATCATCACTTTCTTGAATTGTTAATTCACAAATTGAATTTTCGAATAAAATTAGTTCGATTCAATTTCGAATAAAATTAACACTAAAAAGAGAAGAAAAAATAAAGATTGTCAGTCGACAAAAAAAATGAAAGGAAAATAAATTATTTTTGAATTGAAAGAAACAATTGTCAGAGAAACAATAACTGACTCACGAAGGAATTCCATTTGGGAATCTCTTTGCGACTAAATAATAGCCGAGCCACAGACTGACCTGTTTTTATAAAGAAGAAGTGATCTGAATTCCTAAATAAAAAGTTGAACTCGTAAATATGTGAGAACGTTAATTTCAAGATGTGCAAAGATGTAGGCGCGCTTCACATGGAAAGAGGATACTCATGGAAATTAAATACATCTCGGTAATATCAGGTTTCATACTCACTGACTTTTCATCTATACATATATACAGGAAGTTCGTATAGTCAAGAGGAGAGAAACACTAATCTGGAATTCAACTTTCCAAGAGGAAGAAAACGAGAGATAAATAATAAGTGAGATCAAGAGCCATGTGGAGTTAAAGAGACATTTGCCGAGCGCGCACACAGCTCTCGCGCAGTTGGTCGAGAGTCTCTCTATTCATTGTATTCGATGAAACCATTTATACGCACCGCAGTTATAAACAATGAATGATTCTTAATTGTTTAAGTAAAATTTCCCCCCAATACATTTCCATCCGCATTCAAATATACCAGTTGCTGTACAGTGAATCAATAAATGTGAATATTTCTTCAAATGGACAAGAAAAAATTAATACAATTTCCCACGTGACAGTGTGTATACATTATATTTAAATGCGTGACTCAATTCTATCATCTCGCGACTAAAGCATCGTTAAATGGAGCAGAATTGTGATTTTAGTTGAAAAAAAAAATAGGACACCAAATTATTATTTCATTAATCTGGGTTCCGTGTCTAGGAGAGAAAAAAAAAAGTATCTCTGAATTCAGAGAGAAGAAAGTGAACAGAAATTTGGAAGAATTGACTGTCTGACAGGATAATTCGAGCGTGTCCATTGAAAAATAAAATGATAAAGGTGCCAAGACCTTTCTAGCCTTTTAGTTTTCCATTGTCGGAAGTTACACTCCGTGTGAATAGGAGCTGGAAATTTTCGAATTAAGTGTGGTTTTTTCTTTTATTAATTAATGAAATTCATATGACTTGACATCATTTCCTGTTTGGGGGAAATTATATATGGATTTTTTGAATACATTAAAAGTGGAAATTTGTTTGGCGGGACAAAAGTAAAAGGTAAATAGTTGTGAATTTTTGGAAAATTTGAATTTTGGTGAAAATAATAAACAATTTTAACTTTTTACTATTGCTTGGATTTACTAATATTTACTTTTAATATTGCTTATTTTTTACTAATGTTTACTTTTACTACTATTTACTTAAAGTTATGTGTAACTTTACTACTGCATATTTTTACTAATGTTTAATTTTTAATATTGATTTTTTTTACTAATGTTTACTTTTTACTATTTCTTTTTTACTAATGTTTAATTTTTACTATTGATTTTTTTACTAGTGTTTACTTTTTCCTACTGCTTTTTTTTTAATAATGTATAATTTTTACTATTGATATTTTTACTAATGTTTACTTTTTACTACTGCTTTTTTTTTACTAATGTTTACTTTCACTACTGCTCATCTTTACTAATGTTTAATAAAAATATTTTATTAAAAAAATTTTACTAATGTTCAATAACAAAATATTAGGAAAAATAGATATTTAGTAAAAAGTAAATAATTGGTAAAAATAAATAGTAGTAAAAAGTAAATAATTGGTAAAAATAAATAGTAGTAAAAATAAATGTTACTAAACAGTAAACATAAATAGTAGTAACATTTATTTTTACTGCTATTTATTTTACCTATTATTTTTTAGTAAATAACTATTTTTCTAATATTGCCTTTTTACATCAATTTGTATTATTATTACTTACTATCTATTTTTTTTAGAATTATTTTTAACTAAAATTTATTCTTAATAATATATTTTACAAATATTTATTATCCTTGAACTATTTTTTACTAGATGGAATTCAATTATTTAAAAAGAATTTTAATAAAATTCCTACAGAAACATTTAATTATTTTCATAAATAATACAAATTTGAATGAATTGAATTTCAATTATTTTCATACATAATAAAATTCAATTATTTTCTAAAAAAATTCTTCACAGTAATTCAATTATTTTCATAAATAATAAAACTTTGAATGAATTAAATTCGATTTCAATTATTTTCATAAATAATAAAATTCAATTCACAGTAATTTAATTATTTTCAGAAATAATAATTTTCTTTAAAGAATTCAATTATTTAAAAATAATGTAATAAAATCCTACACAAACATTTAATTATTTTCATAAATAATAAAACTTTGAATGAATTAAATTGGATTTCAATTATATTCATAAATAATAAAATTCAATTATTTCCTAAAAAATTTTAAAAAATTCTTCACAGTAATTCAATTATTTTCATAAATAATAAAACTTTGAATGAATTAAATTCGATTTCAATTATTTTCATAAATAATAAAATTCAATTCACAGTAATTCAATTATTTTCAGAAATAATAATTTTCTCTCAAGAATTCAATTATTTAAAAATAATGTAATAAAATCCTACACAAACATTTAATTATTTTCATAAATAATAAAACTTTGAATGAGTTAAATTGGATTTCAATTATATTCATAAATAATAAAATTCAATTATTTCCTAAAAAATTTTAAATAATTCTTCACAGTAATTCAATTATTTTTATAAAAAATAATTTTCTCTAATGAATTCAATTATTAAAAAAAAAAAAATTTAATAAAATTCTACGCAAACATTTAATTATTTTCATAAATAATAAAATTTTCTACAATAAATGATTGCAGAAATTCAATTATTTTCAAAAGTAGTAAAATTCTACGCAGAAATTCAATTAGGGTTGAAAATTGTTTTTTAAATTCTCGTCAAACATTCAATCAACATTATAAATACTGATTCTGTTTGGAAATTCAATTATTTTCATAAATATAATAAAAGTTATCTCAAAATTTCAATTATTTTTAATATACAATTTTAATTAAATTCCTCGAAAAATGTAATTATTCTTAAAAATATTTTTAAAATTCGTTAAAAGAATTCAATTATTTTAAAAAAATTTTAATTTAATTTTACGCAGACATTTAATTCTTTTTATAAATAACAAAATTTTTTAAAGGTATTCAATTATTTTCGTAAATAATAAAAATTACACAGAAATTCAATTACTTTCAAATTTTTATAAATTTTTTTGCATTACTTCAATTATTTTCATAAATAATAACATTTTTTACCAGCGATTTAATTATTTTTGTAAATAAATAAAATTCTTTTTAGGAATTCAATTATTTTCATAAATTATAAAATTCATCGCAGAATTTCAATTATTTTTAATACGATTTTAATTGAATTCCTCGAAAAATGTAATTATTCCTGAAAATTTTATTAAAATTCGTCGAAAGAATTCAATTATTTAAAAATTTGTTGATAAAATTCTTTATGAGAATTGAATTTTAAGAAACATTTAATTAATCAATAAATTATTTATTTTTGTATAAAAAGAATTGAATTCTCGTAGAATTTTCTAATAAAAGTTGATTTAAAAATGAATTTGTGTTAAAATTTTAGATAATAATTGAATATCAAAAACATTCTAGTATGAATTTTGAGAAATAATTGAATTTTCACAAAGTTTCAAATTTAAATCTTTATAAATCTGAATGTTCCATACTTGTAACTATCAATTCTGTAGAATTAAATTTTTTGAAATTATTCGAAGCTTTTATTTATATTATATTATTTAAGTGAAGAATTTTTGAATAATTGAAATTTCATAAAATTGAATTGTAAACAAATGAATTTGAAAATTTTCAAAGAATTTTTTCAAAAATTATTAAAAATTATTGATTTAATAAAGAATTTTTGTTAAAAATTGTAGAAAATAATAATTGACTTGAAATGGTGAAAATAATTTTGAAGAAATTCTAGTTGTTTTTGTAACTTCTTCAAAATTGTTTTTTGTAATAAAAAAATTTTTATTTTCATGAACTATACAACTGCATTATAATATAAAATAATTATTTTATTTCTGGGTCATTTGTAATTATTATAAAACATGAAGACATCGTATTGCTCCGAGTTGAAGACTCGAAGCGATCGATTTCTTCATGTTTTATAACAATTTTTTATAAATTGTTTAATTTTAAAAAGCTTTGAATTTGAATTATTTATTTGATAATAGAGAATTAATCGCGTATATTTGATTCAAATAAATATTTTCCACCTTAATATTTGTTTTTTAAAGTTATTTTCCACTATTTTTGTATTTTTACTAATTATTTACTTTTGCGTTTTCTTATTTTTGAATAGGGGATAATAATATTTAAATAAGTTAATAGTAAATAAATAAAAAAAATTAAATATCTAATAAATTATATAATGAATTATCCTATTCAAATAGTGGGACAAAATTTGAAAATAAAATGAAAAAATTGAAATTTGTTTTGTTTCAGTGCAGAAACTTTGTTTACGCGTGCACTTGAGAGTTCAATGATTAATAGTTGTGGAAAGAAAGGGAATTGAAGAAAACCGGTTGACTTCATACTGGCTATAGAATTGAAGATGAGAAAATGACATGAAATAAAGGGAATTTAATTTTAAATTAAGAAAAGAAATTGTGATAATTTCTTATTCAGAAGAAAAGAATCGTCCTCCCTTTTTTCCTGGGTATGTAAATTAAAATTTTGTTTTTAATAATTCTAAAATAATTACCAAGTATATAAATATTTAATTTTCATTACTTTTTCTTTTCATTATTATAAATATTTCCCTTTCATTATTATTAATTGAATGAATTTTAGTTTGAATATTTCTAAAAGTTACTTATCTTTTAGAAATATTTAATCAAAAATATTTCCCTTTTTTTTAAATTTTAATCCTCAAAAATTTACTCAAAGATAATTCTTTTCTGAGTGGTAGGAAAATTATTTATAATACATTATTTTAAATTGAAATCTATTTATTTATCTATTACAGTAGAACAAAAGTATAGTATAGTAATTTTCTGAGTTCATATAAACATTTACATATTCATTATTATAATAAATCCTGTTAAAGAATTATAATTTTCCTATCTTCTTGTGCTATCATGTTGCATTTTAATGTGATTATATCTGAATATATATCTGAGAGTAATTTGATACAATCTGCGCAAAAAAAAAGTTCTAGTAAAGTGAAACATTTGAAACTAGACTAGAAAATGGACGAGGATTTAAAACACGAATGTAATGTATTACAGTAATTCATATTGTAATAGCGAAATGCACGCAAAGATTGTATAATGGATTTATAATAATAGATAACGTGAATTAAGAGGAGCATGATTCTATATAAATCACTATTCTCGAGAAGAAGAAAAAGAGAGTTTAATACAGATTCATGCGTAAATTGCAAAAATAAAGTATTTTTCTCCTTTATTTATTATTTTTTTTTTATGTTTTGCTCCACAAAAGGATTTGGACAATTTTTTATTTTGTATTTAATAACTAATATTTAGAGGAATTTTTACTATGCTTTACATTCCTTACTATCTTTTTTACAATTTTTATTTCCATAAAGTTCTAATTTCTAAATAATGTTCAAATGACTGCAGAGATTCAATTATTTTCAAGAATTTTCCAAAACAATTGAATTATTTAAAAAAATTTTTTAATAAAATTCTACGAAAACATTTAATTATTTTGATAAATAATAAAAATTCCAAAGAAATTCAATTATTTACGAATATTTATAAATTTCTTCGCAATAATTCAATTATTTTCATAAATAATAGAATTGCTCTAAATATTTCAATTATTTTCAAAATTTTGTTGTTAAAATTTCTTTATAAGAATTCAATATTATTTTCGAAAATCTGAATTATTTTCTTCTCAGGAATTTAATTCTTCTAATGAAAATAATAAACTACGTTTTAGAAATTTAATTATTATAAAAACAATTATAGTAAAATTCTTTAGAAGAATTCAATTATTTTCGAAATTAAAAAATTTTCTTAAAAAATTCAATTATTTTTATAAATTTCAATAAAATCCTTGGTAGGAATTTAATTATTTTTATTAAAATTTTAATAAAATTCTTTACAAGAATTTAATTGTTTTAATAAATTTTTTCACAACATAACAATTCAATTATTTAAAAAAAATTCTTGAAATAATTCAATTCTTTTTATAAACTTTCATAAAATTCTTGACAAGAATTCAATTATTTTTAAAAATTTAAATGATATTCTTCTTAGGAATTCAATTCTTTAGAAGAATTCAAGTATTTTTAAAAATAAAAAAATTTCTTGAAAAAATTCAATTATTTTCAAAATTTAAAAAAAATTCATCGTAGGAATTTAATTATTTTCATTAAAATTTTTAAAAAAAGTCATCACAACAATTCAATTGTTTTTATAAATGTTAATAAATTTCTTCACAACAATTCAATTATTTAAAAAAAATAAAATTTCTTGAAATAATTCAATTATTTTTATAAATTTTCAAAAAAATCTTGACAAGAATTCAATAATTTTCAAAAATTTGAATGATGTTCTTCCCGGGAATTCAATTGTTCAGAAGAATTCAATTATTTTCTAAAATAAAAAAACTTCATGAAAAAATTCAATTATTTTCGAAAATTTTAATGAAAGTCTTCGCAGAAATTTAATTATTTTCAATAAAATTTTAGTGAAATTCTTTATAATAATAATTTGATTATTTTTATAAATTTTAATCAAAATTCTTGACAAGAATTTAATTATTTTCGAAAATTCCAATTATGTTCTTCTCAGGAATTCAATTCTTCAGAAGAATTCAATTATTTCCAAAAATAAAAAAATTTCTTGAAAAAATTGAATTATTTTCAAATAAAATTCTTCGCAAAAATCTGATTATTTTCAATAAAATTTTAAGAGAATTCTTCTTAAAAGTTCAATTATTTTCTAAAATTCTAAAAAAATTCTTAACAGCAATTCAATTATTTTCATAAATAATAATTTTCTCTAAAGAATTTAATTATATTCAAAAAATAAATTCAATAAAGTTCTACTCAAACATTTAATTATTTTTATAAATAATAAATTTTTCTAAAGAATTCAATTATTTTAAAAAAAATTCAATAAAATTCTACTCAAACATTTAATTTATTTTCATAAATACTAAAATTTTCATCAAATGGTTGCAGAAATTCATTTATTTTCAAAATTAATAAAATTCTTCTCAAAAATTCAATTATGTTCAAAATTTTTTAAAAATCCTCATAAAAATTTCAATTATTTTCATAAATAATAAAATCCTTCTTCGAAATTCAATTATTTTTGAAAATTTTTATAAAATTATTAGCAATTTTCAATTAAAAAATTTTCCTTAATTCATTGATTTTTTATATCTACTATTTTAACAAAAATTTCCAAAAGAATTCAATTATTTAAAAGAAATTTAATAAAATTCTACACACACAGTTAATTTTTTCATAAATAATAAAAATTATACCGAAGTTCAATTGTTTATCAATTTTTTATAAATTTCTTCGTATCAATTCAATTATTTTCATAAATAAAAACATTTTTGTCAGGATTTGAAATTTTTGCAAATCTTAATTCCTATGGAAAAATAATAATAATTGAATATTTATTTAAAAAAGAAGTTATTAATGTTTTTGAATAATTTTGCAATTTAAGAAATTCGTAAATAAATGTAATAGAACATTTTTTTCAGTTTGGATTTTTTTTGTTTCGAAATCAGGGGAAGAAAATTAAATTTTTGCTTTTATTAATATTAATTTTTTACTCTCAAAAATAGGTTTTATTTAAACTAAATGTTATTCATTTGAGTCAAATAAAAGTATATATATTTGTCACATATTTGTTAAAAATTATTAAATTATTAATTAATATTTGTTAAATTATTTGTTTTTTCTAAATGGGTAAGAATTTTATTTAGCTGAAATAAAATTAATAATATTTGTTAATAGAAGTCAAGATAAAATTTATTTAAAACAAATAAATAATTTACTTGGCTCTTTGTCAAATATAAAACTTTTTTCTGAGAGTGTATACAATTTTATGTTTTATACTTTTAATTAATTGTTTCTTTAAAACATTATTCTTCAATTCCTGTAATTTATTGTCAATAACTTTTAAAGTTTTAAATTTAAGTAGACTGAATAATGTAAATATTAGATAATAAATAATTAAATTTGTCTCGTATATCGTTCTATTTTATTGTACTTTGTAAAATATTGAACAAAAATGTATTATATATGCTGTAATTTAATTATGAAATGTTGGATAATTGCATGAAAGAGTAATGAGTTTAATCTAAATCATCAATGGCAGAAAATTACAGGTTCTGAAGATTCTGTAACCAAAACAAAAAAGAGTAAATAAATAATTAAAATAAACAGTATATTTTTAAAATAGTCATAAAGCTTTAATTAACAAAAGCGGAAAATATTGCAATTATTTTCAAAAATATTTTTTTAAAACTTCTTTATATGAATTCAATTATTTTCAAAAAATTTGAATTATTTTCTTCTCTGGATTTTAATTATTTTAAAATAAATAATATATTAAATAAATTAATTTAATTAATAAATTAATTAACAAAAGCGGAAATTAATTTTAAAAATTCCCAAGTAGATTGTCGAAAGTTTCTTTTTTTCTTTTGGAGAATAGAGAATTTTTGCCAAATTAAACCTTTATTAACTTTTTTTTGCTTCAATTGTCAAAAGAGACCAAAAAAGTGTTCCATTTAGAAAAGAAAAAAAAATTGATTTCTAGATCCGCTATAGCTTTGAACGCATTAAATTTTCTTTATGTCTGTGTGTGTATCTTTTTCTCAAATAATATAATGATTTTGCCATTTTTCCTCTCGTGTGTTTTGTTACTAATTTGTGCCACTTATTGTTGTCGCAGATGCTTGACAGTATATTACATGAAAAACAATGACGGAAGGAAAGAAGACGCAGAGGAATTTGAAGATACCGTATAGAATAATCGATGATCTTTCCTGCAAGTCATCAGTCTCAGGTGTTGCTGACGAAGAAATTCAAACTCGTTATAAATGAAAACGGTAAGTTGATCTGAATTCACGCGAAAGTTTTATCAATTATAATATCTCCTATGAGATGATAAAATCACTCTTTTTTTTTCTCTTAATATAAACGAGGATTTAGAAAACGAGACTTTCGTACAGTCATGTTACTTACATTTTTCTTGTTTGACATATCCTGTCTTTCATATCAATTAAACATTTCATCAAATTCAAATGATATTTTAGCAATATTTACTTTCTTTTTGGTTCCGCAAATTTTTCATATTTCTCAACATTTTAATTTTTGAAAATTTAAAAAAAACGATATGTTAACATTTTTTTACAAATTAAATTTGCGATTAAAATTTCGCACTAATTTTAAGATGCAAAATTTTATTTTCAATTAAGTTTTTTTTATTAGATGCTTATTTATGTTTTATAATTTGTTGTTTTTTGATTTTTACTTTTTCTTATTTTTTCTTACCTTTTTTTACATTTTTTACTTTCTTTTACTTTCATTATAATTAAGATTTTAACGAAATTTTATTATTTATTTATACTATTATTATTATCATATAAATACTTATTTAAATCCAACTTATAAAGAAAAGATTTAAAATTGGAATTTTAAGGAGTGAATGGTTAAATTTTAACTATATTCATAAATACAAAAGCCTATTTTGCTTTTAACATTTATATATTCTAAGATTAGCACTATTTATTACAAATTAAAATTTTGTAACGCTTGGGAGATTTGAGCCCGTGACGCGCAATTTGAATAGGTACTTGAAAAGAAACTATGGTTTTTATAACTGACTCAACAACCACGACCAATGTACTTAATAGAAAATTAGAATTTTTGGCCCCTCCAATTTAAATCTTCAAATAATTTAATTAATTTAATTGAAAATTTTTTAAAAATTCACTTAATAATAACTAATTAATTATTATTTCTTATTATTTTCAAAAATTCTAAAAGAATTCATCTCATGATGAATCATATTTAGAAATAAAAAAATTTCACGAAATAATAATTTAATTATTTTTAACAATTTTAATGAAATTCTTCACAGAAATTTAATTATTATCAATTTAATTTTAGTTTGATGATTCTTTATAACAATTTAATCAATTCAGTCAATCGATCTTGACAGGAAATCTATTATTTTCAAAAATTTTAATGATTTTCTTCTTAGGAATTCAATTATTTTTAAAAATATAATAAAATTTATTAAAGTAATTCAATTATTTTTGAAAATTTTAATGAAATTCTTCGCAGAAATTTAATTATTTTCAATATAATTTTAGTAAAATTCTTTATAATAATTCAATTATTATTTTTATAAATTTTAATAAAACTCTTGACAAGAATTCAATTATTTTAAATAAAATTCTTTGCAGAAATTTAATTATTTTCAATACAATTTTATTAAAATTCTTCATAAAAATTCAATTATTTTAATAAATTTTAATAAAATTCTTCACAAGCTTTCAATTTATTATTTTCGAAAATTTGAATAATGTTCTTCTCATGAATTTAATTATTTTAATATATAAAATTCTTCGTAGCAATCTAATTATTTTAAAATTTAAATACAATTTTAGTAAAATTCTTTTAAAAAATTCAATTATTTTTAAAAATAAAAACATTTCTTGAAAAAATTGAATTATTTTAAAAAATAAAAACATTTCTTAAAAAAATTGAATTATTTTCAAAAATAAAAACATTTCTTGAAAAAATTGAATTATTTTCAAATAAAATCCTTCGCAGAAATTAAATTAATTTCAATGAAATTTTAATAAAATTCTTCACAAGAATTCAATTATTTTTAAAAATGATAAAATTTCTTGAAAAAAATTAAATTACTTCGAAAATTTTTAATAAAATTTCTCGAGAGGATTCAATTATTTTTAATAAAATTTTAATTAAATTACTCAAAAGAATTCAATTATTTACAATAAATTTTTAATAAAATTCTTTGAGAAATTCAATTATTTTCATAAATTCTTCGTTCTTTCTTAATGAAAATTCAATAATTTTTTTTTTAAATATTATAATTTCTTGAAAGAAGTGAATTTTTTTTGAAAAATTTTATAGATTTCTTCGATAAAAGTAAATTATTTTTAAAAAACTTGATAAACTTTTTCAGAAAAATTCAATTATTTTTAAGAATAAAAAAAATTTTCTGGATAAAATTCAATTATTTTAAATAAAATCCTTCGCAGGAATTTATAATTATTTTCAATACAATTTTATTAAAATTCTTCATAAAAATTCAATTATTTTAATAAATTTTAATAAAATTCTTTACAACCTTTCAATTTTTTATTTTCGAAAATTTGAATAATGTTCTTCTCAGGAATTTAATTATTTTAATATATAAAATTCTTCGTACCTATAGCAATCTAATTATTTTAAAATTTAAATACAATTTCAGTAAAATTCTTTTAAAAAATTCAATTATTTTAAAAAATAAAAACATTTCTTGAAAAAATTGAATTATTTCAAAAATAAAAACATTTCTTAAAGAAATTGAATTATTTTCAAAAATAAAACCATTTCTTGAAAAAATTGAATTATTTTCAAATAAAATCCTTCGCAAAAATTCAATTAATTTCATTGAAATTTTAATAAAATTCTTCACAAGAATTCAATTATTTTTAAAAATGATAAAATTTCTTGAAAAAAATTAAATTACTTCAAAAATTTGTAATAAAATTTCTCGAGAGGATTCAATTATTTTTAATAAAATTCTAATTAAATTACTCAACAGAATTCGATTATTTACAATAAATTTTTAATAAAATTCTTTGAGAAATTCAATTTTTTTCATAAATTCTTCGTTCTTTCTTAATGAAAATTCAATAATTTTTTTTTTAAATATTATAATTTCTTGAAAGAAGTGATTTTTTTTTTGAAAAATTTTATAGAATTCTTCGAAAAAAGTAAATTATTTTTAAAAAACTTAATATACTTTTTCAGAAAAATTCAATTATTTTCAAAAATAAAAAAAATTTTCTGGATAAAATTCAATTATTTTAAATAAAATCCTTCGCAGGAATTTATAATTATTTTCAATACAATTTTACTAAAATTCTTCATAAAAATTCAATTACTTTTAAAAATAACAAATTTTGTTAAAAAAAAAAATTAATTATTTTCAAAAATAAAAAAAAATTTCTTAAAAAAATTCAATTATTTTAAATAAAATTCAATTTTACTAAAATTCTTCATAACAATTCAATTATTTTTAAAAATTTTAATAAAATTCTTCACAAAAATTCAATTATTTTTAAGAATAAATAATAATAAAATTTCTTGCAAAAATTTAATTATTTTGAAAATTATTATTAATCTAAAAATATTAAAAATTATTTTACAAAACAAAAAAATATAAAAGTTAGGCATCATTTACAGTGTTGTAATAAATGTCACAAATATCGCAATTTAATTAAAATCCCTTAAAAATCTTTTCATTCTAAATATTTGGATGACCCAAAAAAATTTTTATCCAAGTATAAAATTGAGTGCCTGAGAATTTTCAACTTTGTATTCTAATTAATGAAAACTACTAACGCAAAATATATATATAATCAAAGAGTAGCTAATAAGATACAATTATAATTAACGGGTCTAATAAGTATAATCGAATCTTATATAGTTTAAAACCGTATAGCGCGCGGTGATGAGAGAAATGTGTTCGATGATAAAAAAAATAATTTAATTATTGATTGTAGTGTGGATAATTAATTATATAAACAAAAGCGGAGTAATTAATTTTTTTATGTATATCTAGTTATTAGCATACTTCTCCACTGCCAAGGCCGACATTTTATTGTTGACCAAGTTCATTGTCACCTTTCTCTTTATATGCGAACACAAAACTCCCGCGCGTGTATCATGAGATTTTTTTTTTCCTTTTTTTTGTTATCGTTTCCTTCTACATTCGAATGCCGTGGATCGACTTACTTTGAAAATTATGTGTGCAATTACTAAAGTTTATGCTTGGATGGTTTTACTTCTGACTCCTCAATTAGTATTTACCACAGAATTATACAATTGGCTGCATCAATTTAACGAGAGACATTTGCCGGGGAATTTGTTAAGTCTTAAAACTTGTTTACAAAGTAATCGCAAATAAATATAAATGCATATATATTCACAAGTGTAAATATAGATAAGTAAATGCAATCGTAAATATGAATGTATATATTTATTTATATTTATATTCTTTTGGGAATTTCATTTCTTTTCCAAGTATTATATTTATTTTTCCTCAAAAGTAGAATATGAAGCAAAATGCAGTTGAAAATGAATAAAAATTGGATAATAAGTGCAGTAAAAGGAATATTAAAAATTGGGAAAATATATGAGTGAATATAAAAAGAAATAATATATTTTTGTTGAGAAAATAATAGTTTTGTTTTATATCTTAGCAATAAATAAAAATAACTATTTTTAGAAGAAAAGTTTTGTAGATTTCTTTTTATAATTTTCAAGGTCAGTTTGAGTCTCGAAAACATTGCATGCACTGAGTGATTGACCCTTAATTTATACATTCTTTTATTAATTCAATTGCGTGTTTCATTGTAATGAACTTGATTCTACGAATCAAGGAATAAATATTAATTCCGATTCGGCGTCAATGAATACTACACTTCTTTTATTTATTAATTTTTTTTATTGTTTATTTCTACTGATCCTTAAAAATATTTAAAATGTCCTGGAATTTACTGGAAACTAAAATAACACTTTAAAAATAATTAGAAGTCAGCAATTTTCAATTTTAATTTTAATTTTAATTAATTTAATTAGAAAGTTTCAAGAACTTAGATTTTTGAAAAATTTTAATAATTTAAATTCTTCGGAATTTAGTTACATTTTTTAATAATATGTATTTAAATAATTATTGAAAATGATAGATTTAAAGAAGAATTTTAGTTAAAAAAACTAAAAAAATTGAATTTTGGAGAAGTTACAAATTAATGACTGAAGAAATTAAATTATTTTCAAAAGTAATAAAATTCTTCTTCAAAAT